GACCCCAGGAACTGAACCAGCGAACTTTTCGTTTTGTAGTACAACGCCAACCAACCAAGCCACACAGGCCATAGCCAGTCCGGCATATTTATATCTTTTCTTGACAGCAATGAATGAGCTGGTTCTCTCTTCAAAGTCCCTACTCAAAGGGAACCTTATGGGTTGATTTTGGAGATCAATGAGATAACAAAGGTAAAAGTGTTTTGTAAACCATAAAGCCTTATTCCTTTTTTTCTAGAGCACTTAGTATGTAATGTGGTTGTCAGAAGCAGTGTAGGACTCAAGCCCACCCACATTCTTGCCAGCGCTTGGCGCTGCTAGTCTTTTTTATTTTATTCATTCCAGTAGAGATGAAGCAAAACCGCTTCTAGGTTTTAATTTGCATTTTCTTGATTATTCAGCATTTTTTCTTGTGCTTATTGTCCATTCCTGTATCTTTTTTGTGAAATGCCTGTTCAAATATTTGCCCTCTTAAAAAAATTGGGTTGTTTGTCTTCTACTGAGTTGTAATAGTTCTTTATATAGTCTAGAAATAAATCTTTCATCAGATATACATGCTTTGAATATTTTCTCACATTTTATGACTTGCCATTTTGTTTTCTTATGGAGTTCTTTTGAAGAACAAAAGTTTTAATTTTGATAAAAACTACTTTATCAAATTTTTCTTTTATGATTTATGCTTTTTGCATCCTATATAAAAATCTCTGTGTACCCCAAGATCACAGAGATGTTTTCTTCTAGAAGTTTCATTGTATCAAACTTTACATTTAGGTCTCTGATACATTTGCATTAACTTGTTTTTTAATTTTCATTCAGGACATTTTTTTTCATTGCTTTTAGAAAGAGAGGAAGGGAGAAGAGAACACAGAGAGAGAAACATCAATGCAAGAGAGAAGCATCAACTGATTGCCTCCTGTATATGTCTGGACTGGGGGTTTTATGCACCGGGACCAGGGACCGAACCTGCAACCTAGGTAGGTGCCCTGACTGGAAATCAAACTCACAGCCCTTTGGTTATGGAACAATGCTATAACCAACTGAATCACACCAGACAGGGCCATTTGAGTTAAGTTTTGAGTAGTGTGACATGATGTAAGAGGTTTTTTTTTTTTTTTTTTATTCCTATACAGATAATCAGCTCTTCCAGCATCATTTGTTGAAAAGACTTCATTTCCCTATTGGCATCTTTGTCAAACAACATTACATATAGAAAAATTAAAATAAAAATAGCAGCTGACCTCTCATCAGAAACAATAAAGGTCGGAAGACTAAAAGCATGGCATCCTTTACAATGATGTAAGAAAAAACCATCATCTCTGAATTTTATACCCATCAAAAGTCTCTCTCAAATGATGGTGAAATAAAGATACTTCCAGAAAAATAAAAATTGGGAAAATATGTCATGAGGGGAATTAAATGGCAAGAAATGGTAAAGGGAGCTCTTCAGGCTGAAGAGAAATAAAACCATGTGAAAACCTCACTAGACAATGTTTAAGATTTGCTTTCAACACTCATCTATATATACTAACAAAGAACTCAGGAGGGGAAAATAGCCTTTTGTAATTATGCAGATATTTACTATTTTTGCTATTTTCCTCACTCCTGAAGATCTTAGTTTCTTTTTAGTACTATCTTGCTTCAGCCTGAAAAATTTCCTTATCATTTAAAAAAATCAGATCTCCTGGAAATTCTCTTCTTTTTCTTTCAACTGAAAATGTGTCAATTTTGTTTTCATTTCTGAAGGATACGCTTGCAGCATATAAACTTCTGGGTTGAAAGTGGTTTTTTTCCTTTCCATTAATATAAAGTGTGTTTTCTTTTATCACATGGAATATTGTTATAATACAGGCTTTTAAATCTGTGTCTGGTAGTTGCAACATCTGGGATTACGCTGGGCTTGACATCTGTGCTCTCCGTTGAGACTGGTTACATTTTGATGATTCTCTGTATGCTGAGAAATTTTGAATTATGTCCTAACTGTTGTGATCTTATGTTGTCTAGACCCTGGGTTCTGTCATAATCCCCTGGAGAATGTGGATGATTTTGTTTTTGCAGGCAGTCAACTTGGTTACGCTCAGACTGCCCGTTTTCACTCTCTTTCTGCGTTTGGTAGCACAAATCTCAGCTTAGTTTACAAAGTCTTTGCTGTGTTGGTTTGGGACTGTCCCACACTTAGCACTGGAACTCCTAAATTTTTTTTTAGAGTTTCTCTCTCTCTCCTAGATGAAACAATCTCTTCCCTCATTATCAGTCCCCACCAGATAGATTATAGTAATAAGCACAATAATTTAAAGTCTTTGTATGTTAGCTCCAAAATTTAGGTTTACTTTGGTTTGCTTCTATGAACTGCGTTCTCTCAATTATGGGTCAACTTTCACAGTTTCTTTACGTGTCTAACAATTTCTCATTGTATACTAAATATTTTGGATGATACCTTTCTAGAAATTTCCTTCATAGGAAAAGCCATGAAAGTTGGATTCAGTCATTGCAGGTCCTTTCTTTAAAAGTCAAATATTCTTCAGTTTCTGCCTGCTTTTTGATTGCTATTAAATGCTTTCAAACAGTTTTGTGTGTCTATGTGTTCTGTCCAGAGTTTATAATTGTTACAGTATGTTTACTATCAAACAAGTTACTCCACTACTACCAGAAACTTCATGGTCTTTCTGGGCTGAAGAACACTTCCTTTCCACCCTCCCGCCCCCCTTGAAATTCTGCAAAAATGTTTGAACTTGTTTTTTCCAAATTCTCCCTGAGAGCCTGCTCATCACCCTCTTGCTCCAATAACCACATTAAGTGAAAACAAAGACACAAAAAAGCCCATTCTAGCCAAGGCCCCACAATAAAGGTGCTTCCCCAACTGTGAATAAGTTCTATCACCTTTACTATGTTTTCTCCAAAACACAGTTTTGTTCAAATATTTATTATGAGCCTACTAGGTGCCCTGGGTCTTCAACGAGCAGTAACATATGAATATAAAAATCCATAATATGAGACAGAAAGTTCCAAGTGCTGTGAGAGAGATAATCAAAAACTGTTATGGGAATTCAGAGGAGAAATGAATTCCAGCCAGGAAGATTAAGAGTGGTTTTGCAGAGGAGGTTCGGGTGCAGATAGTGGGTCCTAAGTGCTAATTCAAGCAGAGACATTTATATATTTGTTCTCTGTGCTTTAGCAGTATCACGGGACTGGAAGTGGTGGTAGCTGTTATTATTATATAAGGTCTTCTATTTAAAGTGGGAACTAGGAGCAGACCATCTGAATGGCATCGTATGCAGTTTAGCAGAAAGGCAGGATCTCAGGACCCACCCCAGGCCCACTCAGCCAGAATCAGGATTTCAACAAGATCCTCGAATATTTCATAGGCACATTAAAGTCTGAGAGCCATTCATGTAAAGCTCTTCATCTTTCACTAGAACTATGACTGTAAGAACTCTTGCACATTCTCTACTCCTGGGAAATCATCCACATAGTAGGAGGGTATGGGGCACAGGAGAGCAGCAGGTTATAGGTACTGAGCCTCTACTCCTGGGTACTTTAGGTATGCTTTGTCTTTTACATTCATTAGTAAGCTTTTGAATCAGTTATTTCCATTCAGCAGATGAGGTGGTTGAAGGTCAAGAAGGTTAACTAAGTGGCCCAAGATCACAAGGACAGTGGCAGAACTTGAATTTGAACCCATGTTTGACTGACTCCAAAGCCTGCAATCTACTTTTCGTTACAGCACACTGCCTGTCTCTGGTCTGCGATTCAGAAGGAATCGGGTGGTGTTTACGGTTTTGCCATTAGCTAATTCAGTGATCTTGGTTAATTCATTCCACCTTTTTAGAACTCAGCTCTGTGTGTGTAAGCTGACAGAGGCTGAACCAGGGAAAGTTCACAAACAAATGAATCAAATGGTATTTGGGGTATCACTAAGTCTGAGTGTTGGGAGCCTTTGTTGGGTAAATGACTCAGAAAACCAGAAACAACGTAGCATGGGGTAGAGAAAAAATTACAGGACCAGATATGAGAAGACCTGGGTTCTAGTCCTACCTCTGGTATTTCCTGGTTGTAAGCTCTTCCTGTGTGAACTGGAGAGAAATGATCTGTACTGGCTCTCTCAGTGTGTTTGACTGGTTCAAGTGAGGTTTTGCCTGAAGAGAGTCTGTGAAGTGATATATTAAAACAGCCAGTCCTCTAATTGCCTTAATTTTCATAGCACAAATGAGATATTTATAAATAAATTAATTAAAGAACATGATTTGTAATCTGCTGGCCATGGTAGCAGTTGGGAGCTAGCTCTGGCAAAGCTCTTCAGCTCTGTGCTTTTGTTTATCCTAACGGTGGAAATAAAAGGTAATAAAAATATGCACAGGCCCCGCACCTGTGAGAGAGCTGGCAGTGTTAGGAAAACAAAGACCATTATTCTAGAACCGGGAGTCCTTGGCTGTAGAATTTCCTGTGATGATGAAGTTTTATACTGTATTATCCAGTATGGTAGCCACATGTGGCTACTGAGTACTTGGAGTGTGGCTAGTGCAACTGAGGAACTTAATTTTAAATTTCATTCAATTTTAATTAATTAAACTTCATTAGCCACATGTGGACACTGGCTACCACATAGAACAGTGCAGCTCTACAGAAAAAAAAAAGATATGTATCGTTCAATAACGTTAAAGCTTTACGGCTCTCTTCTTAAAGCTAACGAGTAAATTGCTTATCTTTTTCAATTCTGAAACTCTAGCCCTACAGGACTTTTTTTCCCCAAAATTAAATTTAATAGCATGATTTTTATAGCATGATTTTTGACAATGGGAGGTTTCTCTGGAATGCAATGATCACTGTATAGCAATATAGATGATACCAATGAAATGTGATGGTTGCCTAAGCAGGAAAATGTTATATATTATAAGTATATATTTTATCACCTGAAAAGCTATAATGTACTCCCTTGTCTTTAAAATGAAACAGCAGAGACTGAAAAGCACTAGGCCGTGTGACCGATCACCGCAGTCTCCTACCTGGCGTTTTCTGCTCTCCGGCTTATGCACTGGTGCAAGTAGACATACTCCTGAGGCGCACTGGTGGACAAGGGGGGCTGCATGTGGTTCGACCCGGGGGGTTCGAATGTGAACAAGGTGGGCTGACTGGAGTGCGATGGGGCTGAGGATTTTCGTTCTCGGAGAAGGTGCTGATTGGAGCTGCTGAGCTCCGCTGGAGAGGAACGGGGACCATGACTGGCTGAAATGTTTCTCAGGGCGTCTGTGAAAAGGAGAAAAGACTCTGTGAATGAAACAGGAAAGAAAGGTGCCCTTTTCCCAAAGTGGGTCATCAGAGGAAGAAAACCATGAGGAGCAGAGGTGACGGCCCCGCAGCAGCATTTTCTCCCTCCCGCACTCCAGAGGAGGGCTGTGGCCTGCGGGCCGCCTTGGTTGAGGGGGGATGCTCTGTGCCTCTGCACTGCTCCCGGAGTCACCTGGAAGCCACCCTCTATCACAGCTGGGGCAGCACTGCGCCGCTGCCTGCTGCCCGGAGCTAAGGCTCCCCGCGGTCCAGGCGCCTGAGGCGGGCTCTCTGGAGCAGGGAGCACTTCCGCCCTCCTCCTCTTCGCAGGCTTCTGCTGGCATCACCTCCCTCAAAGCTAAGGCTGCTTTGTTAAATGGAGCTTTGCTTCTTGAACACCCATTAATTGAGACTCTGGGCTGTGCCTTACTACATTAATGATAAAAGCACAAATGTATTTGGAGCTGTCCCTGAAGACTCGTCCCAGTTCCTGCGGCCTGCCCTTTCCAGTCCTCTGAGGATGGCAGTGTCTCCCATTCCCCAAATCTTGTACCTACCACTGTCTGTCTAGTCATCTTTTTTTTTTCTTAACTCTTATCTTAAAGTCTAGCCTGTTGTGTTAGAAAGGAAGCGAGGTATTAAAGACATAATAACTCTGAGTGCTACACCCCAAGCCAAAGGGTATTCGTTTGGCTGGCTCTCTAAGCTTGGTTTAAATTCTAAGCATAACATACAAGGCCTTTCACAGTCTGACCCATTTCCTGCTTCACTCCTCCCATACTTAAGGCATATGGAAGCTTCATCAGTCCCTGAACGTACCAGCTCCTTTTACGATTCTTCATTCTGGCTTATGCTAGTCCTTCCACATGGGTTTCATGTCTATTCTCCTGGCACTCAGATGAGACCCAAAATGGATATCACATTCTCTCTGAAACCTTCCTGGACTTGGTCATTCATTGTTCAGGGTGCCAAGAGCACTTGGCCCATGTTTCATTATATCCACTATCACTCTGCTTCCTTGCCTAGCCCACGGGTTTCTAAGAACAGAGACTGGTGTCATTACAGTCTTAGCACTTACCTAATAAAGGCTAGGTAGATGGAAAAGCTTTCAGTCTGTGTTTGCAGAATAGGCAAACATATTCATTCAGCATCTAATATTTCCAACAGTGATTTTTTTTGTGCTAAAGAAGTAAAAGTTTAAAGATGTAATCTCTGGTGACATGAGACTAGTAGGGGATAACATTTTAGTGATCTGGATGGTCGCTTTCTAGGGCTATTCAAATCATTTCAGAGGGGACATAGTTCTGTTTCCATTGCCTGTTATCTGACCTATCTTAGCCTGTACCCTTCTCAAGGCCCGAGGCAGAATCACCAGCTCACTGGAGCTCTGCAGCCTTAATTACTCTCCAGTCATTTCGGATGCCAGGCAGGACAACTGTGCCAGTGTACAACGGGAAAAGCCATGGGCCTTTGGGGAAACACTGTCCCACTGACAGCTGTATTGACCTCCAAAATGAGTTCCCATTACAGGTCTCATACTGAGCTGGACATGTGTTCACAGAATCAGTGGCTTCATGACTCCATTCGATTTGCAAGATGAGCTCTCCAGTGGCAGAGGAGAGAGGGCGCATGCTCGGGGATGGAGTAGCCACGGTGCCAGGGATGACCACCAGTGGCTGCCTGAGAAGATGCCAGGAAGGCGCTAAGGGAAGACCTCTGCTGCAATTCTACAGTCGCCGTGGTCTTTTTGGACTCCTCTTCCTCAGCCCACCTCTTCAATGAGCCTCTTCCGTCTTCAGGTTTTTTTCCCAAGACCCTGCTCTAGCTTCACTCTCATTCAGGAGACTCTCCTGGGGCACCCTGTCTGCTCTCAGAGCTTCAGTTACCACTTATGTGATGACAACACTCAAGTCCTGATCTCTGGCTCAGTTCTGTCTCCTGGGCTTTGTCATGCGTCTGTCCATCGGCTGGGCATCTCCATTCACACGTCCCACAAGCAGGTCAAACTCAACAATCTAAACCAAACTCCTCAACCTCGTCCTGTGTTCTCCACCTCAGCGAAGCACATCAGCATCACCATCCAATGGGTTCTCCAAGCCAGAAACCTAGACACTGCCTGTGGCTCTTCCCTGTTTCTCAACAACCATATCATGCCATTGCATCTCTGCCCCGCTTAAATTCTCCAATGGATCCGTGATCCTCAAGATGATTTACAAAGCTCTCTTTTTAACACTACTTCGCTGTTTATTTCTTCAACCTTGTTTCTCACCAGTACTTCCTTGTATTTCAAAGAGAAATTCAGGAAAATACCGACCTCTCCCTTATTACCCCATACTGAGTGATTAGGCCATAAACTCAGTAAGGGTAGATAGTCTGCCTCTCTTGTAACACTTTATCTCCAGCATCAATCCCAGTATGGGACTCAGCTCCAAAATGTGTGCTGGGAAAATAAATGAAGTACATAGCATAGTAGGTCATACTCCCTCAATAACATGCATTGATTCCTCATTGTCCAGGTTCCCCAGCATGACAAGAATGGCCATTTTGTCACAACCTACTTATCTGGCCTTGTCACCCAATATATCCTCCATGCTGAATGCTTGGGCTGTGGGTCTGTGTAAGAGGAGTGAGCTGTCCTCACCTCTGGGGCTCTCTGCCTCCAGCTCAGGCTATGGAATCAAGTCTGTGACCCAGTCCGTTTATCTGCAGACCTAGAGAAGTCGCTTCACCTCTCTGAGTCTTGCTTTCCTCATTTACAAATTGACATAGGGTGGTTATAAGGGTGAAATGCATTAAGAGTCTAGAAAGCCCGCATGTTGTGAGTACTGAAAACATGTTCTAGTCACTTCTGTATCCTTGGTGCCTAGAATGTAGTAAGTATTGAATACCTATCTGTTGAATAAATAAAAGGGTTTTTCCTGGCACAAGAAACCTAGAAATGCTAGTTTCTTGTGGTCAAAATCGAAGGAATTTTTAAAGGTCTGTTAAGAAGATGAAGTAGGGGTTAGGATGAGTTGGGCCCACAGACACTTGGAATTCCATTCTACCAGCATGAAGCAACGTCTACGAAATCAGTCAGCTCCATAATGGTTTGAAGCATCAGAAAAGTTCTTTCAAAGCTGTTCTGGCATTACACTGTGCCAAAATTCCACTTCTGCTTGCACCTTTAAAAGATTTCAACCCGAATTTATGTCATTATTCCTTGGTGCCTGTACTAGGTTGAATAGTGCCCCCTCCAAAATTCATGTCTATCTGGAATCTTAGAATGTGACCTTATTTGAAAATAGGGTGTTCAGGATATAATTAGTTAAGATGAGGTCATTCTGGATTAGGGTGGGCCCTAATCCAGTGACTGATGCCTTTATAAGAAAACAGACACAGAGGTACACAGAAAGAGAACACCATGTAATGACAGAGGTAGAGACTAGATAAATAAAATGGCAATATAGCCATACATTGAATTATTATTCAGCCATAGAAATGAATGGAATACTGATACATGCTGCAACATGGCTGAATCTTTAAAACACTATGCTAAGTGAAAGAAACCAGTGATAAAAGATTACAGATTATATGGTTTTATTTATGTAAAATGTCTAGACTAGGCAAATCCACAGAGATAGGAAGCAGACTAGTGGTTGCCTGGGGAGTGGAAACACATAGTGCCTGCTAATGAGTATAATGTTCCTTTTCGGGGTGATGAAGACTTTCTAACATTAGATTGTGGTGGTGGCTGCACAGCCCTGTGTGAGCATGCTACCCCACTGAGCTGTATACTTGAAATAGGTGAATTTTGTGGTATGGGAAATAAGAGCTCAGTGAATTTATAAACACACACACACACACACACACACACACACACACACACACACAGTTTGACAGTTCCTCAAAAAGCTAAACATAGAGTTACTATATGACCCAGCAATTCCACTCATAGATATATACCCAGGAGAATGAACATGTGTCCACACAAAAACTTGTACACAAATGTTCACAATAGCATTATTTATAACAGCCAAAAGTGGAAACAACCCAAATGCCTATGAACTGATCAATAAACAAAATGTGTCATGTTCTGTACAATGGAATATTATTCAGCAGTAAAAAAAACAAAGTATGAATACATGTTATAACATGTATGAACCTTGGAAACATTATGCTAAATAAAAAGAAGCTAGATTTCATTTACATGAAATGCCCAGAATTGGTAAATATATAGAGTCAGAGAAAGGGATTAGTGGTTGCCGAGGGTGGGGTGAGCGAGGATGGAGACCGGGAAGTGATTGCTAATGAGTATGATGAGATTTCTTTTGGGGGTGATAAAAATGCTCCAAAATTAGATTGTGCTAGTGGCTGCACAACTCTGTAACTACGCTAAAAAACACTGACTTGTATACTTTAAGTGGGTGATACATGCATGGTATGTGAATTTAGAAAACACACACATATACATGCATAAGCCCTTTGCAAAGTATGAAGTGTTTAGTATATGCAAGAGATAACAGTAGTTTAATTAAAGACATCTGACCTTTAGTTGTTATTTCCTTTTTGAAGAGATAACTGAACACTCAGTAAATACCAAGTCCTTACCAAAATACACTGAGTAAGAGACACTGTCCCTTTCCTACCTTCAAATCCCCATACCTCCTCCCACGCCAGTGTTTTGGGCTTCCCCCGGAATCAGAGCAAGGTAATGAGAATTTCAGCAAAACAAAATAGCAAGAATACATGGTGTAGGGTGAAAAGACCCAAGCAGTCTGAAATCCCACCTCTCAGTGACTGGGCCTTGTGCGCGTCACAGGAGTTGGGAGACCGAGGATCCAGCTCTGGCTCTGCCACTCACTAGCTGGGAGACTAGCTGTGGACAGGTCTCAAGTTGGGATAGGCTGGCCTGCCTGCCTGCCTATCTCACTGGGCTGTTGCAAAAGATGAATGAGATAAGGGTGTTCACTTGTATAAATGGCTCAGAGGATTTGTTT